AACTCAGGCCTCCCAGTTACAGACTTAACAACACACCATCCAATGGGACAATAGTTTCTCCTACACTGTTTATATCACTGCTGTTAGCTACCTTCTCAAATATATTGCTGCTGACTTCACAGGGAGCCTTTGGGTGAATGATTCTTCAGCCTAGAGAGATGGTGTCCATGTACTCTCTATAAAAATGTGTGAAATGTCTCAAAAGCTGCACAAACACTAACCAACCCATTGGCAATGTACTGCATGCAGATGAGAAACCTAGCAAGTCAAACCAGCTTGTACATGCTAGTGGTAAGCAAAATCCCCAAATTCAATTATCTCTTATTTTGCTACCAGGGCAATGTCAAAAGCTGCAAAGGGAACAAAGCCACGGGTCAATGAAACCTATTTAGGATACATGACAAATTAGCCTAAATTGACCTGGATGAGTCTTCAGGCTGCAGTCTGAGTCAGTTATGTAAAATATAACCGTTTCATGGCGTCATATCACATTTGCAGTGGTGTAAAGTGAAGGAGACTTTGGCCTTCTGGCATACAAAAACAGTGTTGGAACTGAGGAACAGGCAGAACGATCTACTGAATTGTGCACAGCTTTTAGTACCTTTTTATTTTCATAACAATATCTGAATATTTTTTATCTATTTAAAATTGTTTTATCTCATGTTCAGGACTGAGTAAACATGAACTGTTCATTTACTGTTCAAGAAGTCCTCTCCCAAATACCCTTTTCAGAAGCTGGTTTGGAGAAATAATAGACTCTGATTTGGAAAACACACACACACACACAAACACACACACACAAAATATATATCTCATAACCCTTCACTACAAAAGTCTCTAAGCGGCTTACAAAGATACAATATAAAAATAAACCAGTTAGAAATATAAAATCAAATTTCAATTAAAATGCCTGCTGGAATAAAAATCTTCAGTAGGTACTGGAAGTTTAGCAGGGAGCTGTCTGACCTCAGCTGGAAGGAAGTCCCACAAAACTTGTTTGTTATTTGTTTGCCATTTTTGTGCCTAACGATATCTAGTGCTGTCAGGGCTGAATTATTGGGCAGAGGTCCAAAGAGAGCCAGCAGAATTAGCAGCAGGGCTGGCTTACCACATTTTAAAAGTAATGTACATTGCCGTTTAAAGCAGGCTTCACTAACCTGGTGACTTCCAGCTGTTTTGGACTACAACTCCCATCAGCCCTGGCCAGCATGGGAGCTGCAGTCCAAAATATTTTGAGGGAACCAGGTTGGGCAAGGCTCATCTAAAGACCCTGCCCCCTGTAAGCAGACAGTCTCAGATAACCAAAGTACATCACTGATGGCCACCAAGGAGCCTTAACAAGATCCCATTAAAACATCAGCCACTGTATAATGATTTGAATCTGTCAAGCAGCTGAAATGATCATCGGAGGGTCTCCAAAATCAGTCTTATCACCACTCGGCACAGCAGCAGGTGGCTCTTTGGCTACCTTCATCCCAGACCATTCTGGAACATAGGAAGCAAGCTGGCTGGCAACTGCTATCTGAGGAATCTTTCTGAGCCTTGGACCTTTCGTGTCCCAGAGCATCGTGTGCTCTCTCATGGAGGTAAAAACCAGCGCTTTCCATTGTACCTGGAAACCAACACTGTAGCTCACTGAATATATGTGCAATATGGTCATACTGGTAAATGCCTGTCAACGATCGAAACCAGCCAGCTCTTCTTAGTGAAATAAATGTGCAGTCCTACAGAAATAACCTGCAGCTGTTAAAATCTGGCCCTGTAAATTACTTTGCATATAGCCCCATTCCATATTATGCTGAGAGGCCTATAATCTGCCGCCAGCTGTGTGCCACTGCCTTCAATTGCGCTGACTGAGGACTGGTCAAAATGCTAAGGCATTAATCTGGGGATTAGTGAGCATTAGGTGAGGGGTCATTTCCCCCTCTTTTAGCTGCAAAAGGAAACATTTTTACCTCTGTCCCTGAGAACATGGGTCATGAATCCTGCCTTTTAAACAGGGGCCAAGAGGAGCAAGCCAAGGCATGAGAATATGGGGCTCCGGCAATTCCGTTTTCACATGCTAAAGCAGGGATTTACGGTGACCATCAGGAATTTGAGATCCTGGCTGAATGTCAGGCCCATCATGTCAAAAGCTGCGGCGTACATGGATATCGGGCTCTGGCTGCTGAGATTTCTGAAGCCTCTGCCCTTCTCTAAAGAGGCAGAGAAGGCTGGAGGGGATCCCAAACAACCCGTTTATCTCAGCTTATCATCTCTTCTAGAGGGGCTAATTATGCCTAGGGGTTGAGAGGGAGAGAAACAGGGATGATTAAACCTTGAAAAGAGAGAGACAAGATAAACAAGGAGTGACAAACAGAGGCAGGCAGCCAGCTGTTCTTGCCTCCCTGGGTGTTTGCCTTCTCTACCGACCTCCAGGGGAGTTTCCGACTTCTGATGTTGGAGCCTGCCTTCACAGGGCTGTTTTTGACATCATGATGGATGGAACACCTACCCAGGTGCTAAATTTGCCAACCAGGTAGAGTGTGCATGCTTAGGCCATTCTCTTTCGTAGATTTTGATTGCGTGGCGAGTTCCTGCCCCCCACCAGGATAAATAAAGACACGAAACACCATAGTTTAAGGTTAAATGGGCGAATTAGGCCACAACTTTATTGAATTCAGGAATGAGAGGCATTGGCTTAGGCATTGGTCCTAACGACTATCCGGCTCCAGCCCATTTGCTGGAGACACGGGGAAGGGTTAACACTATATCGGGGGAGTCTCCTGCAGAGGCACGTGGACTAGGAGCTCCCCTGGGTCACCGCTCGGGGGCGTGCCTTTGGCCCACACCTCCATAGGCTTCGGACAGGGCCACGCCCCCCGGAGTCCTTTAACGGACCACCCTTTGCTCACTGGGGGGAGGTGATGGCGTTCCTCCCCCCCCACATCCTCTTAACCCCTTCTTACCAATGCCTACCGCCAACGCCGAAAAGTTGTGACGAGTTGCTTCGAGGTAGGCGAAAAACCAAATGGCTGAAATTGCCAATTGGGAAAAATTCCTACCATGCCCCTTGAGGTGACAGACCGAAGTCCATAGCAAAGTCAGAGACCTACCTAAAGCCTACCTAAAGGGAGGGAGGGTGGGAAAACATGGGGGCTAGCCGGCGAAAAGAGGGCGAGCCCCCTCTGCGTCGGCCCTAAATAGGGCATGTCACCGCCCCCAGCCAGCCGATTGGCTGGCTGGGGGGGGGCAGACAGGGCCGGGATTCCCCTGCTCTCGCGGGGGCTGAAACCAGCCCCCGCTCATGTGGGGGGTGGGCGTGAAGCCCGCAACCCCACCTCCTGGGCAGGCCAGAAGTGGCTTTGCTGGCAATAGGGAGGAATGTTGAGATGAAGGTTCCTGGGTAAGAGATATTTCTGCAAAGAAGATGTGGGGAATGGGGCCCATGAAGTATTTGTTTACACCAAAGCCACTGCATACACACCATCTTTTTAGGACACATTTAAAGCGCCCCCCCCCCCAGAAAAGAATCATGGGAACTATAGTTTAAGAGTGCTGGGAATTGTAGTCTCCAGGATTCTTGTGGGCAGGGAAACGCACAGTGGGTACACAGCCAACCACTCCCAAGGGTTCTAGGTAATGCCAAGACTTCCGGTTCAATGCCCGTATGGGATAGTTGCATATTTCTGCATTGCAGGGGGTTGGACTAGAGGATCCCAAGGGTCCCTTCCAACTCTTACAGTTCTATGATTTTATGAATTCTGATGCGGCGAGAACTTCCTATCATCGTGGGGCCCAGCCCTGGTGTTCAATGGTCACACAGTCAGTCTAGAACTCAGGTGTCTTTTAATTTTAATTTTGCGTGCTTCTCTACCGCAGGTCTTGTGGCTCGTCTAGCGGTGTTCCCAGTCATCTGGGCCAATTCGCTCCGGATCTGTCAGGATGCTCACGGACGGCGGATGAGTGCGGGCAGCAGCAGCAACAACAACAGGACAGGCCATTGTTTCCCCATCTGCTGCTGAGAACCCCCGCCCTCTCGCCCCGCCGGCAAGCAGGCGCCGATGCCTCTGAGCGCTTTCGCTGGTCCTTAGGGGAGAGGCAGAGGAGCGGCAGCTGCCGTCGCCTGCGGCTTGCCTCTCTGCGCTCCCCTCCACCTCTCCTTCCCCGCCCCTCTTTCTCTCTGCCTTCCTCTTTGCGCAGGCTCAGCCTGCGCCCCCTACTACCCCACCCCACCCCTGAACCTGATCTCCGGCAGCAGCCTCCCCGCCGGAAGCGCGGCCCCAGCCAATACCTGCCCTCGATCGCGAGCCGCGGCCCCCTGCGCGCGTCGTGGCGGCGCGCTCGCCCTTCCCCTCGGCGCTGCCGCTGGCTGGGAAGACGGCGGCGGTGGTGATGATGGCGCGGAGGAGAAAGTGGCCGAGGGAAGCCCGGCCTCCGCTGCGAAAGCCGTGCGGTAGGAGTCGGTAGAGAGCGAGCGAGCGAGAGACGAGGAAGCAGACAATAGGAGGAGGGCGGCGGGCAACAAAAGGCGCGATGCTGGCAGGGCGGCGGCGGCAGCGGCAGCGCGCCCCAGGCCGGGGAAAGGGGACCCTCGTCGGTGCCAGCCTTTCCTCCTCCTCCTGCTTCCTGCCGGGGTCGCCCGCTGCATCCCTCCCGGGAGCCTTTTAAAGTTGGATGGCGACGGCGATGGCCGCCCCCTAACGAGCCAGGAGCCGATCGCGATGCTGGCGGAGACGGAGGCGGCGTCGGCTCGGCGGAGCTGAGCGCAGCGGCGCGCGGGAATGGGCTGCGCCCGGCGGCGCCCGCACAGCTCGAGGTGGCCGCTGCTGGGGGGCGAGGCGCGGGGGAGCGAGCGGGGAGGAGGCGGACGATGCCGCCCTCGCGGAGAGGAGCAGATCGGGCGGCGGTAGGCGAAGAAGGCAGCTGGTCTCGGAGGCGGGAGAGACCGGCGGGGCGAGGCGGCGCCGCCGCTAGCTGCTGTTGAGGAGAAGCCCCGTCTGCTCGCTCCTTCCGCAGCGTTTGTGCCTCAGGGTCGGCGGGGAGGTGGGCGATCCTCAGCCTCGCTCCATGGCGAACGCCAGCGAGTTTGCAAGCAGCAGCAGCAGCAGCCCGCACTTGCCCGGCCCCGGCGGCCTACTCAGCGCCTCGGGCCTCAAGCTGACCACGCTGGGCTTGATCCTGTGCCTCAGCCTGGCGGGCAACGGGCTCTTCGCGTGGCTCATCCTCAAGGAGCGGCCGCTGCACCGCGCGCCCTACTACCTGCTGCTGGACCTGTGCCTGGCCGACGGGCTGCGCTCGCTGGCCTGCTTCCCCTTCGTCATGCTGTCGGTGCACAGCGGCGCGGGCGCCTGGCCGCACGGCGCGCTCAGCTGCAAGGTGCTGGCCTTCCTGGCCGTGCTCTTCTGCTTCCACGCCGCCTTCCTGCTCTTCTGCGTGGGCGTGACGCGCTACATGGCCATCGCGCACCACCGCTTCTACGCCAAGCGCATGACGGGCTGGACCTGCCTGGCGGTGGTGTGCATGGTGTGGACCCTCTCCATGGCCATGGCCTTCCCGCCCGTCTTCGACGTGGGCACCTACAAGTTCATCCGCGAGGAAGAGCAGTGCATCTTCGAGCACCGCTACGTCAAGGCCAACGACACGCTGGGCTTCATGCTGATGCTCGCCACCGTCGTCGCCGCCACCCACCTGGTGTACGTCAAGCTCCTCTTCTTCATCCACAGCCACCGCAAGATGAAGCCCGCTCAGTTGGTGCCGGCCATTAGCCAGAACTGGACTTTCCACGGGCCCGGGGCCACCGGCCAGGCGGCCGCCAACTGGACCGCTGGCTTTGGCCGGGGTCCCACTCCTCCCACTTTGGTGGGCATCCGGCAGAACACCACCCATAGCCAGATCAAGAGGCTGCTGGTCTTGGAGGAGTTCAAAACGGAGAAGAGGATCTGCAAGATGTTCTACATGATCACCCTTCTCTTCCTGCTTCTCTGGTCCCCCTACATTGTGGCCTGTTACCTGCGGGTCTTCATCAAGGCTAGCGCCATCCCCCAAGTCTACTTGACCACTTCTGTCTGGATGACCTTTGCCCAGGCAGGGGTCAACCCCATCCTGTGCTTCATTTTCAACAAGGAGCTCAGAGTCTGTTTCAGAGCTCATTTCCTCTGCTGCCAAAGCATACAAAATACTCAAGGCACCATTCTGTGTGATCTGAAGAATTTTGGGATGTAGTTTTATCTTTCCAATTGAAAATAGTACTCTCTATGCGGTTTTTTTTTTTTTTTGGTATATGCACTTGAGAAATTGTTATCTAAGGAGACACCTTGACTTTTCCCCACACCCTTAGGTTTTAAGATATTTATTTATTTATGTGTTAGGGGGATTTGGGGGGGGGGGAGGGGAGGGGAGGAAATTTGGGGAAGTAACACAGGGCTCCAACTTTCTTGGCTGCTTCTAACATTTCTACAAATGATTCTGACATGGATAAAAAGGCCATAATTTTGTGTTGTTTTTTTTAAGACCCTACTGGTTTTGATAAAGGCTAAGCGATTTTATTCATGTAAGATTTGATAAAAGGCCAAGATGAAATTTTATACTAAAGTGTTATTTTTGATGACCTCAAAATATTGTATTACAGTGTTTGTTTTTAAAGGGTGACCAAGAAGGAGAAACTGTACTGTGTTTAGAAGTCGTTTCTTGCTGGGGAGCTTTTGGATTAATTTTTATTTCAGTACTTAAAGCAGTGAATTTCTAACTTTGCCTGAAATAGAGAAACGTGAGATGCTACCCTAACCTACATCTTCACCTTACTCAAGTTATTAGGTCGTTTCCTATTGACCTGAAGAGAATTAGGTTCACTTGCTTTGACGTAGACTAACTTACATTTTCTTGTTGCACTGTTCCTTTGATAGTATTTCAGAACCCCTTTGGTGGGGCGGGGGGAGAGGAAATGATAATTTAAAAAAGCAAATTGATTACATATCAACTTAAAAAAAACTGTCAATATCAGGTTTTTAAAATCACACTGACTTTCATACTTTATTGGCTTTTTAAAATGTTATCTACAAATACTGGACAATACTTGTACATCTTGACTGTTTTAATAAAAACACTGTTCAATTCTCGTACATCAAATGTTTATGCTTTGCTTTCTACTCTTGTTCTGGCATGGCTTGCCTACAACCTATGCTACAGGAAGAAAGTAATAATTATATATGGGTGCATTCCTGTGGTTCCTGGCAGGGTTGTCCCAGGACTATAGGACAGGTTGGATCAATTCCTCTGTTTTGGAAGACAACATGGAAGAGGGAGGTCTGGTGTGGTGCCTCCCTCTCCCTCAACTGAAGCTCTGACTTAGCTGAGGTTGGCGTTGTGGCACTAGTATGTCCAGTGAGGGGAAATTTCAGGGCCATTCTGCACAGCAGTTTGGCTCCAAAGCCCTTCCGGATCCTCAGCATCCCCAAGTGTGTGTGTGTGGGGGGGGGGAATTTGAGCATTTTTCTGTGTGTGTAAATTTCTCTGTCCATTGCTTCCAGTGGGAACAAAAACCTGGGAAATGGGCAGATTTTTTTAATAAGGCAGCAGAAGCAGATCCCCTACCCTCGACTTTGCACTGTAATTTGTTCTTAGACCCTGGTTTCGCAGGTAGCGCTGTGGTCTAAACCACTGAGCCTTGGGCTTGCCGATCGGAAGGTTGGCAGTTCGAATCCCCATGACGGGGTGAGCTCCCGTCATTCGGTCCCAGCTCCTGCCAACCTAGCAGTTCAAAAGCACGTCAAAGTGCAAGTAGATAAATAGGTACTGCTCCGGCGGGAAGGTAAACGACATTTCCGTGCGCTGCTCTGGTTTCGCCGGAAGCGGCTTAGTCATGCTGGCCACATGACCCGGAAAAACGGCTCCCTTGGCCAATAAAGCGAGATGAGGGCTGCAACCCCAGAGTCGTTTGTGACTGGACTTAATTGTCAGGGGTCCTTTACCTTTTACCTAGTTTCAATCCAGAGGACATGCACATCCTTGGGAACACGGTAGGACTTACTTACGCGTAAACTCATATTGCATCCCAGTTCTATGCATCCTAAAAAGGATTGCACATTTCTAAAATAATAATAATAGTAATAATAATAATAATTCCAAGTCCATGCTAATTTATAGGCCTAAATAGAACAACTCTTCCCCTCCCCCACATCTGTTAAAACAAATGTCTATTTCTAAATGGCTCCTCATCTGTTAATGTCAGAAGAGTCTATAGATAATTTGTGTATCACTAATTTTAGTAGACAAAGCAGTTCCTGCACATAATTGCTTATCTGCCTTGCACGGTAATACCAGATATCATTTTTAAATTATTAATGTTCTGGGTTTTTTTAAAAAAACTGCAGATTATGTGGTAAACAGTTTCTAAAAATATCACTAAGCTAACTGTTAACTACTGTAACTACTTTTGCTGAGCTTACTTTTTGGAAATACAGGAACAGTGTGCGCCATCAGATTTGTTTTTTAAAAAACGAATAAGCTTTGGTGGTATAGCAGAAGTTAACATTTTAATGTAGTTCAATAAGAAGGCGAGCAAAGAAGAACTGAATGCTATCTCAGCAGCCATCATATGAATTGTAGAGAGAGAACTTGACATGAAGGTGTGGAAAGTTCACTCTCTTCAGGGCAACCCATCAGAGAGGGAAAGATGCTTTGGTCAGATTTTGACAGTTGTGGGAAAGAGGAACTTTGGGAGGTGTGGATTTCTAGGCAGCTTGTGGGGCCCTAGTCCTCTGATCCTGTGGGGAGAGAGGGGAAGGAAAGTACACTAGTGGCCAAAATTGTGGAAAGCTGCATATCAACCTGAGCAAGTTGTGTTTCCTTTTTCTGGTTATTTGGCTATAACTCTTGATAGAATACAGATAATTGAACAAACTTCATTGCAATACATTCTTCACTAAATTATCTTTCCATTGATATATAATTTTATGGTATTACTCCAAAAAAATGTGATGTTATGAGCCATCAAACCTCGGAAATACACTTTCCCCAAAAGGTTTCCACAATTTTGGCCACTAGTGTATACACCCAGAAGATAAAGAGGAACATAGACATCCAGAAGGAGCTGACAGGAGAGAGAGAAGAGAAAGAGAAAGAGTGAAACCGAGATTTATTGTTCTAGCAATCTGTTTTGATGTATTGGGTTGTCTATATGTTTGTATCTACAGTACTATTATACATGTGTGTTATTGAACTGTTTTACAACCGTGTGGGAAATCTACTGCCTCATGAAATGGTTAAAAGGCGGGATATTATTATTATTTATTAAATTCCTACACTGCCTTTCATCTGAAAAATTATCATACCTCGGGTTGAATATGCTTCATGTTGAGCGCATTCGAGTTGCGCTCTGCGGCAACCCGGAAGTAACGGAGCGCATTACTTCCGGGTTTCGCTGCTCGCGCATGCAGATGCTCAAAACGATGTCACGTGCATGTGCAGAAGCGGCGAAAAGCGACACGTGTGTGCGCAGATGTGCCATCACTAGTTACGTTTGCTTCTGGATGCGAACAGGGCTCCGGAACGGATCCTGTTGACATTGTGAGGTACCACTATACAGGGTAGTTCACCACATAAAAATCAAAATGAGAACACAAAATACATGATAAAAACCAACAATATCCCCCAAAACATATTTAAAAGTCCATAGATTGATTGTTTAATCAGCCAAACGCTTGATTATAGAGAAATAGGGATGCGGGTGGCGCTGTGGGTTAAACCACAGAGCCTAGGGCTTGCCGATCAGAAGGTCAGTGGCTCGAATCCCTGCGACAGGGTTAACCCCCCTTTGCTTGGTCCCAGCTCCTGCCGACCTAGCAGTTCGAAAGCACAAAAGTGCAAGTAGATAAACAGGTACCGCTCCAGCGGGAAGGTAAACGGCATTTCCATGTGCTGCTCTGGTTTGCCAGAAGCTGCTTAGTCATGCTGGCCACATGACCCGGAAGCTGTATGCCGGCTCCCTTGGCCAATAAACGAGATGAGCGCCGCAACCCCAGATTCGGCCACTACTGGACCTAATGGTCAGGGGTCCCTTTACCTTTTTAAAGATATGTAAGGAAGGTGCCAGGTGAGTGCCCCTGGGGAGAGGATTCCACAAATGGGTAGCTGCTGCAGAAAAGGCCTTTTCCTGTGTTGCCTCCAGACTTCTCGTGGAAGGGGCACATGAAGAAGGGCCTCAGATGACGATTGCAGGGTCCAGGATGGTTCATCTGGGGAGAGTTATAGCTGCCCTTGGCCGATACAAATAAAACTGTCTTTTGTTTAGTTACGACCTTCAATATTTGGGATTTGGTTGTGGGATTTGCAATTTTGTTTCCTCCCCCCCCTTGCAACTGTGTGCACTACATTTGATGCTGAACTTCTAATTTTGGGGAAAGGGTACCTCTTCCTTGGACAATATTAACCACAACCACAGAGAAGAGGGTTTGTCACTTCAGCAAAAGCTTATCATTTGTGAGAGAAAGGGTGGAAATCACGATCCTTCCTAGCTAGAAAAAGAAAGAAAGATTTGAGGCTTGGAGGCATGATTCTTTGTGACAGTCCAAGAAAGTGGAGTGATTTAGTAGAGTATTACTTCGCTCCCTCAAAATGTTGAGTTTGTTCCTGCCTGTCACCCAAGCTCTAAAAGAAGGATGATGGGAAGGAAGTCGCTGAGCAGTACCACTGGCACAAGTAAATCAAAGGAACAGTTTGCTGGTATTAGGTTTTGCAGTCTACTACAATAGTTTCCAAGCTGGGTGTGGTGGTTGCCGTTCTTATAGCCCCCTTGTAAACAATTAGTTGTTTGGGGGGGTGTGTCATTTTTAAACAGGCATGAGGGAAGATGTGCCAGCACTTCTTCCTTGTGAACATGGTCTTCTTGGCAGATGATGTTGCCTCCACTTTCTGGTGCCCCCTTAATCTGCACCTCTGTTACAGATTGCAACCTATGGCCAACAAATCCAGTATTGTCTATAGGCAGCAGCTATTGAGGGTCTTTGGCTCAGGTTTTCCATCACCTGCTATCTGGCAGCACTTTTAATTAGGGCAGGTTGGCCAAGGGGCCTCCAGGTAAATCAGGTTTGTTTCCCTTACTTCCTCTCAGACTGTGAGTAGGTGGGCATTGTTAAAATAGAAAAAAAGGAATGCAGAATAATGAAGTACTTGCTTCCATTAAAACAATGTTTCTGCCAATACATCCATGAAATGTAAATTGCTCCATAAAGAACGTCCTGTCACACCTCCTAAATAGATCACCTGCATACATCCATACAAAATATAGTCCCTGTGTGTGCTTTCATAGGTTGAAGTTGAACCTTTGCTTCTTGTCAACCCAGCCAGATAGGTGGGGTATTATTATTATTATTATTATTATTATTATTATTAATTACAAGCAAAAAAACAGACACCACTAACTGCTGGCCCCTGTAGTTCATAAGAATCAGAATACAGAATATAAAATCTTCTCATGTCCTTTTCATTGTCTTGCCAATTTTTGTGATACTAACAACTCCTCCTGGGAAACATGTTCCTATTTGTCAAGGCCGCTTACTTTATACTAGAGATGTCTTGTTTAAAAGATGGTTTAAGTGAAGGTATTCTTAGCTGTTACTTCTGGGGTTTCCCCCCAAAGCACTCACCTGTGCATGCACATATTTAAAAATGTGCATGTGTGTGTGTGCATAAAAGCAAGCTACAGGCATTTGAATGTGGTCCTATTTGGAACAAGATGCACATCACTATGTCTTATTATGCTGAGACGGCTAATTAATCGGACGTCCCTTGATGAGGCACACTGGGGACGTATCCTACAATGAAGAATTCTGTCTTTCTAGCCAAGCTGAGAGGATGATTGAATAGCCAAACCTGATTGTTATATACCTGCTGCTTCTGTAAGGACACACTCCGGTGAAAACATTGGTAAGCTAGAAAGGTATGTTAGTTGAGCATTTCTCACAGCAGGTGCAAGATTTAAAAGGAATTAATGGGGCCGCTTCCTATGTGCAGCTTCATTCTGTCGAAGCCCCATTTTAAAGCTCATGTATGTGATAGGAAATAAACAAGGAAAGTTACCAAGACAAATGCAGTACATTATTCAGCCATCAAAGTTGCAAAAGATGGAAATTTAAAATACGTAAACACTAACCCAATTGACATTTGATAACTCTGGGGTTCTCAACATGGTGCCCATGGGCTCTGCAGGGTCCTCAGTTACCCCCTTGGCTCCTTGCCAAGGGCCCTACCTAATCCACCTCTCCCATATGAGGGTTTGGGGCTCTTAGGGGGGTGGTTCAGTTGCAGAGTTCGCTTGGGTTTTGGGGCGGGAAATAGTGCCTACTTTTTTGTCTGCTTTGGTTTTGGGGGAGATGTTCTGCCTGTTTTTGGAGGTGGGTTTTGACTGTGAAATTGGTTTTTGTGGGGCCCACAGCAGTTTCTTGGATTTCCAAATGGGTCACCAGGCAACAAAATGGTTGAGGACCACTAGGTCAACTATTTAGCTGCAAGGAGAAAAGGGAAACGTTTCAAAATGGTATTGTAGTATGAATCGAAACATCGTGGCTTTAAAATGGGAAAATGCAGTTCACATTCTTTCCAAGCATCCTATATAGTGGTACCTCAGGTTACAGATGCTTCAGGTTACAGACTCCACTAACCCACAAATAGTACCTTGGGTTAAGAACTTTACCTCAGGATGAGAACAGAAATTGTGCGGCAACAGCGGGAAGCCCCATTAGCTAAAGTGGTGCTTCAGGTTAAGAACAGTTTCAGGTTAAGAACGGACCTCAAGAACGAATAAAGTTCTTAACCCGAGGTACCACTGTATAATAAATATATGCCCACATTATGGACTGTGGTTGATTCATTAGCAGATCTCACTGCCACCCATTGTTTGAACGATTTACCTTGAGCTAGGGGCAGAGTTAAAAGCCTAGCCATTGTGTATCTTCTGCTAATACTGGGCATTGCTCAAAAGGGACAAAGGCTAATACTCCCTTGTGAAGGTAATGGAGGTGTAAAGATCTCATGGAAGAATTCTAATTAATGGTGATTCCCCGTGGCAGTTGCCACACTGATGCATCTTTGAGCAGATTTCTAGACAGAGCATATCTAGGTTTCCTAAAGTTCTAGGAGAGCAAAGGTTAGGATTGCAGCTTTGATGTTTTGTTGGCCCCAACTATAGAATTTAATGAAGATTGGGAATTCTCCTTTCTTCTAGATCTGGCTCACCATAAGTATATACTGCTGTAAAGGTTGTTTCATGTTTTTTTCTAATGTTGTCTGGGTTTATGTTTTACATGAACTTACATACGTGTGTGCAGCAAATGTATGTTTTTAATTGTGAATCTGCAAGTGTTTTCCACAGCTGAGGAGCCACACATGAAGTGGCCTCATTTTGTGATGCTGTTTTCTCATTTGTTCCTAATTAGCAGGGAGTTCTGGCAGCAAGGTCAATACATTCTTTTTGATACTTTCAGTTGATGAGTTCTATGGGTCAATGAAGACCTGATAGTCAAGTGCCAATGGCTGTGTGAAAAATAGCTTGCTGGTTAATGAAAGGCAGCTTTAGTTCTGACAAAATTTGACCTATGTGAAATAATGCACATGGCTAAACTCTTCTCATAGCTCCATGAATCGAAAACAAATTTATTGCTGTTCCACTTTAGAAGGTTTATTGTAGACTGGTGCTTCTGGGTTTCTTCACATAATATTGAAAACAACATACATCTCAGAAGCTGAAGAAAGACCTCACTGGGTTGCATTACATTATTACATAAATCTACACATTTTGGCGAGGGGAGGGGGAAGTTAAGCAGAGAACTAAATAAGGATCTACTAAATGGGTATATTTGGGGAACACATTTCTAAGGTGACTCATATAGACAATACATGGGAACATGAACAATTAATCTTTATGGGCTATAGCAAAATTACTTTGGGAGTGTTTCCTAATGGAAGAAAAAGCTATGGAGTGCAAGGTTATGAGTCGCCACCCAACACAACTATGGTTGGTTATCCTGCACAGCTTCTGGAATCATCAGTCTTTCTACTATACTTGGTCTAAAGCTGACTTCTGATACCCAAGGATTTTCAAACATTCTTTTATTAGAAATACACCTAAGATGCATGACATGGTGTGCTTCGTCTGCCTTCAAATATACTGGGACGAGAAATCAGAGCCAAGTTGTGATGAATTTCCTACTCATCTCGGTCAGTTTATGCAGTCAGCAGAATCTAATGTTAAAACTTTTCTGGACTTTCCACACAACGAATGCAGTCCTACACAAAGAAAGGTATCTTGGATATGCACAGTCTAGACTTTTCTCATGTGTTTCTCACTCTACATACCAGTTTTGTTTTTTAAAGGAAGCATTTAAATATGCAGCCATCCACCAGCAGTATAACATGGTGTATAGCTCAGGGAATGCTGCTTCCCTTCATGGTTATGCTGATGGTATAAACTGGTCCTTATTGACATCAGCTAAAGAGAATGTGCTTGATGTGATTGGCCTTAGCTACTTAACACTGTGGACTCGGGCAAATAAATGCATGTCAATTGTCTAGATACACTTTCCAGCAGCTTTCCACACACAGAATTACTACGAATATAGGAAATGTATAATACTATACTACAGTCCTATGCACATGAAGATAAGCCTCAATTCACTAAATGGGGCTTACTTCATAATAAACATGCATAGGATTACTTTGTTACTTTTTTGTGTGTGTTATATCTAACAAGGATAAGTAAAAAAAAAAGTAAGACTGAAGACAGCTTCTATGGCATTCTATAATTTTTCATGGAGCATTGAATTGTATAGGAGGTACTTATGTCAAATTTAATGGTAACGTTCACAGAAATCTTGAATGATGCATACTTTCGTACATAAGTTCTCAATTTAGTGTTGATAGATAACAATAACTCACTGGAAAAAATCAAAGACCACAGTGCAAAAATAAATATATAATTTTAAATAAATAAATATACTGCCATTATTCTGATACAGAATTATTACATAGTGATATTGTTATATTTACATAACAAGTCATGTACTTTAAATAGACTTTTCCGGTTTTTAAAAAATATATAAAGTACACTTCAAATATCTGACAAGCTGCTAGTTTATGCCAAATAAAACGAAAATAATTCTTTCTCTTCTCATACTCAGAGTGTATTAATTTTAAACAGTATTTTTACTACTTAAATGCTTTGGTGCTGGTTGTCATTTTTAAATAACGTAAAGAACACAGTTGAAGTGTTTAAAATAATGCTATTTCTAATCTAAAACAGTATTATTATTATTATTATTATTATTATTATTACAACAAATATGTACCTGGATTATCATAGTCTAACAAATCGTCTTGTTCTTAGCCCTATATTGCAGTGCAAAATACTTTAATTCAATCTTAGTAGATTCAGAAAAATCTTGAGCAAATTTATGTAAACTGACTTGGTAATTATGGGCATCCGTTTTCTAGATGGCTAACCTGATCATCCTTAAGCAGGCCAGATTTTAGGAGAGAGGAGCTACCTGTACTGGAGCTACCTGTACTATTCCTTCAGTATAAGTCTGCACAGTTTGTGATCTAAGCCAAATGCAACACAGCAAAGATGCATTGGGGCCTGCCAGTTTCTTCTTGTTACCTGTTTTTGTAGGCTACACAAACAGGAGGTTTACTGAGCCTCAGGTAGTCTGCCACACATGACTGATGTGCTATGTTTGAACTGGCAAGTCTCAAGTTGTACAGGTCTACTTCAGCACGCCTCAGCGCCTAGGGCTTGCCGATCGAAAGGTCGGCGGTTCGAATCCCCGCGGCGGGGTGCGCTCCCGCTGCTCGGTCCCAGCGCCTGCCAACCTAGCAGTTCGAAAGCACCCCCGGGTGCAAGTAGATAAATAGGGACCGCTTACTAGCGGGAAGGTAAATGGCGTTCCGTGTGCTGCGCTGGCTCGCCAGATGCAGCTTGTCACGCTGGCCACGTGACCCGGAAGTGTCTGCGGACAGCGCTGGCTCCCGGCCTATAGAGTGAGATGAGCGCACAACCCTAGAGTCTGTCAAGACTGGCCCGTACGGGCAGGGGTACCTTTACCTTTACCTTTTACTTCAGCACATATTAGCTTGTGCTGTTAAGAATATGAAGAACTCCCTGAAATTGTCCAGCTGAAAACATCTTGGCTACCATGAACTATGGTATCATAAAAATGATAATGGTTACAATGCAAGAAAGTACATTGGAAAATTTCCAGTGACAAATGACTTCATCACAATAACAAGTAAGGATCTTAATACATGGAATACAGTAATGGCACAGAATCCTTCCCCATGCTTTCGCTAGAAAAAGATATCTTCGTTTTTGAATTCTGGTAAACATTTGTATTTGCTAGGAGAAATCCAGACACAAGCCAAATTAGGTAGGCATGGGCAGCTGTGATGAATTCTCTTCCCCCAAAATGGAATCTGAAAACAAATAGTTAATGTTAAAGAAATGAAGGCAAGAAGACAACGCAGCAGTAGGTGCCTGCCATTAACACTAAAGTTTCCACACTAGTATATTAAACTAGTTCAAAGGGATCCCCCAAAATCCAAACATATCCCATCTTCCTTACAGGTGTACTGGCTTGTTTTCCTCTCTTGGTGTTTATTCTTAACTATATAATGTGAAACTGATCCTCTGTGTACACAACCATCATTTCAAAAGAGCAGTAAGTCTGGTATAGATTATTATGGTGTACCAATGGGAGGATGACTTTCGGCAAAGACCTAATTCAAAGTTTTACAGTGTTGGTATTTGCTATCCCACATATGCTACCTTGCTTCAGATTGGGCCTTCCAATAGGATCATCCAACAACATATACCTATGTCGTACCTGTGGGAGAATAAATATTTCTAGTGCTTTCCTGGAAACAGCACTCAATATTTGCCTGTAAAAAAGGAAATGGGTTCAACAGGGGCAGCATTGGACTTGTAATAGGGCATGAGACTTGTAAGATTGCACAGAGCCTCAAAAATATTCTTACCTACCAGCTGCACAGGCAGGTTTCACTTTATTTTTGCCCAATGTTTCTGTTAAGCACCTCAGAATTTTTTTCCTCAATGGGGCAGATAAATCTGTTCATCTTTAGAATACCTTGCTTTTACAAAATGGAACCAAATGGATTCCTTTCAGTCAGAAGTTTAGGAGTTGATTATGTGCAGCTCAGTGCAATGCCACACTTTCAGCCAATGAGAAACACAAGTCAAAATCAAATTTTATTATGATGTAAGCAGGACAAATATGGACGCGGGTGGCGCTGTGGGTAAGAGCCTCAGCGCCTAGGGCTTGCCGATCGAAAGGTCGACGGTTCGAATCCCTGTGGTGGGGTGCGCTCCCGTTGCTCGGTCCCAGCGCCTGCCAACCTAGCAGTTCGAAAGCACCCCCGGGTGCAAGTAGATAAATAGGGACCGCTTACTGGCGGGAAGGTAAACGGCGTTTCCGTGTGCTGCGCTGGCTCGCCAGATGCAGCTTGTCACGCTGGCCACGTGACCTGGAAAGTGTCTCTGGACAGCGCTGGCCCACGGCCTCTCAAGTGAGATGGGTGTACAACCCTAGAGTCTGTCAAGACTGGCCCGTACGGGCAGGGGTACCTTTACCTTTACTTTTTAAGCAGGACAAATACATATGAAGACACTTCAGCTAACGCTTCAAAAATTATTTCAGAATGACTCAGAATCTGCTCCATATTGATGAGAAGGGAATGGAAGCAGGCAGTTGAACTGTATATAAAGTATATACAATTTGTCTGTATATACAGTAGCCAAAATATTTTGCATGTGACAAGTCAAAAGAATAGGGTGGTGCTATTTACTGCAGCATACCCCTTCCCAATGCCTTATTGTTGTTTCTCCTCTTGTACAACTGAGCTGGGAAGCAGTACAGTTTTGGAGGAACGTATAGCCGTAAATGCCAAAATCTATGCCTAGTCAGATGTGTGAACTCCCTTCCTCTCCTGTTCCTGTTTGGCTTTGCTATAAACCTCTACAGTCTGTTTGATATCTGTGGCAGGGATAGGAGTAGCCAATGTGGTGCCCACAAAATGCTGTGGACTACAACTCTCATTATCTCTGACCACTGACAATGTGGTCTGAGGCTGATGGGAGTTGTAGTCCAACAATGTTTGAAGGGTACCATGTTAGCTACATGGTTTACAAGTATGGTTACCTACTTTTTGCTAAAAACCATGGGCTTGGCGGTATTATGCATTTCTCCAAACCATACACCCACAGCAAAATTTTCCTCTAAAAACAAAACTGTTGCCAATAATGATGTTTCATAGTGTTACTGCAAATAATTGGTTGGGATTAATTATGTATCTAGTCCCATCAGAATAACACAATTCACTGGGGTCAACAAGACCTTTTTTGTGTCAGATTTTCTTCTCAAAGACCAATGCATTTTGTTCTTGCATTACAGTATTATTGTCAAAGCATCATGTTGTGTATTTTTTTCTTTATAAAATGTTGCACAAATAATATTTTATTCACCTTAATGGAAAGAAAAAAAATCTATAGAAGTGGTAGCAGGGCTAAATGAATTGCAACTCAATCTTATCTGAAAGACTAACATTTAATCTGTGTTCTGATTTAAGCAGTATGCCTTTACTGATCTCTGATCAGCTTATATCAGTTGGTGGTCCACTTTACAAGCTCTCCATGTGTGATTTAACAAAGGGCACTCAAGGCTAATCTAGTATGAAGACAAAATTGCCTTTCAATTTAGGCTTGTCCTTGCAGATCAAGTTTAAACTCAGTGGTGTGGTAGTGAGGGAAAATAGAAATTGAATATGTCTGCTTTGTACCTGACCAGCAGACAAATGGGGAATGTCAGTGTTTTGACACTTTGAATGGTCTTCTGTAACCCCTATGGATAATATGAGCTTTTTTGCAAATAAATTGGATGATTTTGAGCTATTTCTGAGGAACATCGGCTGCAGTATTCTGGATATGACGTATGGCAGCCCTAGCTTCAAGGCTAAATTGCCAGGACTAATTTTACTGAACAGTAAATACTTTGAGAACCAGTGCTAGAAACAATACAAAACAAGACCAAGATTTTCAAGAATATGCAGTCAGTGACATCCTTCCCTGCTTCTTCTTTAACAGCAGACCAAGAAAGAAATGGGAAGAAAGGTAATGGCTCCACCCCTCATTGCATGGAATGAGAATGAATGTATTTAGGGGAGAAAAAGGATGACAGTGCCTTCTTGCAGCTTAATGGACTATCCCGTCCATTGTCTGCCCCAATAAAACAATATGAAGAAAAACCAATGGTTTGTACATAGGGTACTAGCAAGCAACTGAGTGTCAAACTGTCAGTTGGGTCTTGCCAATGCTACTTAAAGGATAAAGAGAGCTCCATTGTTAGGTTACAAGCTGAGACTGAGCTATATCCTTAACAAGAAAAAGAGGCGGAGCAGTACAGTAAGCCTAAGTGCATGGTGCAATAGTGAAATGTGGATATGGTTAGGAACAGAGTATTGTCATAAAGTCTAGCAATGGTAAGAGAGTACAACCATAAGCTATGAACCTTAATATTTTCAAAACATTTTGGACTATATTCTCAGACTCCTATCAAAAGGGGGCAGGGGGTGTGGCGGCGGGCAGACCATGCATAATTTCCAAAAGAAAAGGTGGTTCAAAATGCAGCAGCCAGATTACTGGCTGGAGTTCCATTTAGATCTCACATAACCCCTCTTTTAAAACAGCTGCACTGCTTGCCAGTTTGTTTCTGGGCTCAATTTAAGATGCTCATGTTAGTGTTTAAAAGGCTAAACAACACAGGCCCCAAATACCTGAACAGCAGTGCCAGCTCCTGGGGCTGAGCTCTTTTGGCCTCCCTGAATATTTTTGGGGTGTTTGGCCACCTTGAATATTTTTGGGGTGTTCAAAAAGCACGAAGGCGAAGCATGGAGCCCAGCGTAATGTGGCTCCAGTGGCCAGCTCCTTCTCCTGCCGCTGGGGGAAGGAAGTTTGAAGCAACTTCCTGCAGGTGGCAGCACCAGGAGGTGGTGGAGGAGGAGCAACCGGCCATTGATGCCACATGTTCGGATCTGCCCCAGGCTCCTTCTGACTCCTGCTGTAAGATTACCAGACGTCCCTGTTTCCCAGGGATAGTCCCCAGATTTACAGCTTTCTCAGCATTCACATGTCTGTAGCGAACAATAAGTGTCCCCGGATTCATTGAAAAACATCTGGTAACCTTATCCTGACATCACATGTGCAATGCCCCACCCCAAATCGCCCTTGTGTACCCTTAAAATCTGCCCTAGAGGGTTGATGAGAGCTGCAGAGGAGATGAGAGAAAGGCACGTGATCAGAAGACTACTCAAAACAATGTTGGATTCCAACCTCTGGAAGGAAGCAATGAGGTACTTTGATTACCTGAACAATTTGCCTACTCAAATGATTAATAGCTCTGGAAATCAGCAGGGTTTGAATGATCACTTATAAGAAACAAGAGTATAAGGATAGTTTTAAGATGCTTATATTCTGTAATGTGAAAGAAAAGCATTGGACTTTATTTATTTTTACCTTAAGACCTCTTACAGAATAACACTGACAGTAATATATTTATTTGCGTATGTTCTTATGATGCTGTTTCCATAAAAAGAAAACTTCCTCTGTAAAGTATATGTTCTTGCACTTTTGCAATGGATAAAATTTTATGCAGTTTGACTTAGAACAAAATATATTCATATTTCCTTCTACCCTGTCAGTTACGGTATCACACAGGGTACCAGGAAAAAAATACTAACTTTATGACTCAAAGGATGACAGTCTTCTCCCAAGGTTCCCATTGGTGTGCACATCCGCAGGCTCCGAATCCAGAGGCTAACAGCACAACACATGCCTCCACCACACTGTAGATCTCTGTCACAAGCCTTAAACATAATAAACAAACACACAGTATTAGATAAGTAAAATTACTAAAAATAAACTGGACTACTACCCCATTATCTTATTGTACATCTAAAAGCCTGTATTTTCAAGAGGCTTTGCTAACACAAGGAAATTGTGGGGTTCGGGATTCACATGGTCATATAGCCCATTAGAAGCTGAAGCAAGTTTGTTTGTTTCTTAAATAAAATCCTTAAATTTAGTAATTGGAAATCTTTTAATCTTAAGAGGTGGAACCTACATTTCAAATGTCACATGCTGTCTTTCCTCCAACCACCATCCTCAGTTCAAGTAAAGATAACCTGTGGTCTGGATCCAGCAGCTAAAGTCAGCCACAAAGGCCCCATTGAAACCAGTGGGGATTATTTAGTTGGATCCAGGCCACTAAATTATTTTATACCATCAATGGTGCCAGACAGAATGAGATGATGGGTTAAATGATTATTTTGTTGCCAAAAGAAACATGCATTGCAAGAGGTTCTATATTAGCTCTTATGCCACAGAATAGCAGAGCAAATATTTGTGATATTTAACAATACAATGTCTCAATGTTCACGCAGAGGTAAGATCTGTCTTATCTTCACCAGAATGCCTGCAATCACTTCTGAAACACAAAAACAATATTAATCTGGTCCAACAAAAGCAGAAGCCCCTTTTTCTTTCTATTAGAATACTTTTAATGTTTTGATTTATTTATAGCAGGCATAACTCTGTAGCTAAAAATGGAACAAGTCATTGGAGCTTGTTTCTCTGGATATTAACTGAAGCTCTTATAAATCAAGCTTGCTCACGCAAGTATATAGTGGTTTACTCATGCAAGTATATAGTGGTTTACAAAAATCTAAGAATGCTAAGAACAAAATTACACAAAACCACAAGAAATTCAAGAAAATAAATTGCAACTTCCATGAAAACATGTGCAACACTATTCCAGTCATTCCTGTTCAGAAGTACCATTGAATTTAATGGATTTCACTCCCATGTAAGTGACAATAGGATTGCAGCCTAAAGCTTTTCTGTTATTGATTGTCTATCTTATAATTTCTGGTAAAAGTCGATTTGAAAAGAAGATTCCTAGAGTATTTATTCATTTGTGACACACATAGGCCACAATTTATCAGGGAACAATCTGAGGCATTCATGCTGACCATAGTTATACTAAATACCATGTCATGTCAGCTATAAAAGACTGGCAGGCATCAAATGTTAAATATATTGAACATCCTATCCCAAAATATGTGGTTAACACTTTATATAAAAATTTACTCAGGAGAACCTTCAGACAAAACGAGGATTCATTCAAGCTCTAAAGTCTCTTGCGTGTTCATTTCCCACCCTTGCCTCTTCCATACTGTTATGACCAGAACAGGCCACAACTCCTTGCCCATCAAGTCAGTTTCCTTTTAATTTGTAAATAAAAAGTCTTTGTACTGTTTTATTATGTTAAAATCAGCAGGAATCCTAGACTGGTAGAATGAATGGTTGCTTAAGGACTGGTGATTTAATGCATGTTAGACAAATCCATGCTAATGTGTGGCAGGTGAGTTGTAGTATACTACTCCTGTGCTGTTTGATTACAGACAACTTGTTCTCCTCAAAGTTCACTTTCCCTGGACAGATCCTCATACATAGTTATGCATGAGCAGCCGGTTTCTGTATACAAAGATCCGTGAAGTTGGGGCATGACAACAATACCGAAAAGGAGAACCTGATACTGCTGGCCACCTACAGATACCATGTGTCACCTAAAACCACCATAAGAATGAACTTCAGAGTCTTAAAAGGGCCAGCGCTGCTTCTGCATCCCACAGCTTCCCTCCAAGTGTGCTCCCTGTACTGCAGGATCAGTTAAGTACAGTGACAGGTATCAGGTTCTTTAGGGAAGGCACTTGTGAGGGTCCTGACTTGAGTCCTACAGCTATGGGAGTTCCTTCTGTGGGTTTCTGGCAGGTGCCATGGCCTTCTGAAAATGAGTAGGAAGCTTGGAACCCTCAACTAGGCCCCTTGGCTGATGCATCTGCGGCCTCCAGCTCTGTATCTGGAGTGCTGATGAACTCCGTGGTCATGACAATAGCATGAAAGTACTACAGCTGAGACAAGGCACCTGCCTCTGTATCTGTAAGATGCTGACAGGCTGAGTATAGACTGTCTATATTTTTTATCTTATATCATTTTAAAATAAAAAAACAACAACTTCATAGTAGAAACTTCACTTGAAAACAAAGGTGATGAGTCAGCTAAGATTGGACTAAGATCAGTTTAATGCCAAAGGGACGCGGGTGGCGCTGTGGGTAAAAGCCTCAGCGCCTAGGGCTTGCTGACTGAAAGGTCGGCGGTTCGAATCCCCGCAGCGGGGTGCGCTCCCATTGTTCAGTCCCAGCGCCTGCCAACCTAGCAGTTTGAAAGCACTCCCAGGTGCAAGTAGATAAATAGGGACCGCTTACTAGCGGGAAGGTAAACGGCGTTTCCGTGTGCGGCTCTGGCTCGCCAGAGCAGCGATGTCACGCTGGCCACGTGACCCGGAAGTGTCTTCGGACAGCGCTGGCCCCCGGCCTCTTAAGTGAGATGGGCGCACAACCCTAGAGTCTGTCAAGACTGGCCCGTACAGGCAGGGGTACCTTTACCTTTACCTTTACTACAGCTGAGACAAGGCACCTGCCTCTGTATCTGTAAGATGCTGACAGGCTGAGTATAGACTGTCTATATTTTTTATCTTATATCATTTTAAAATAAAAAACAACTTCATAGTAGAAACTTCACTTGAAAACAAAGGTGATGAGTCAGCTAAGATTGGACTAAGATCAGTTTAATGCTAAAGTGGATTTTGAATGGTTTGTGAAAATGCCCTAAGTGCAGATGTGGAGAACCTTTGGCTTTTTAAATGCTGAAGAACTACAATTCTGATCATCCACAGCAAACATGTCCAATGGTTAGCAATGGTGCAAGTTGGAGGTCAGCTACATCTGAAGAACCAAAGGTTCCTCACACCCGCCATAGTGAAATCAAGGAATACATTCAGGCTATAATTCTAACCCCATTTACCTGGCAGCAAATCCCACTGAATTTAGTTGGTCATGTTTCTGAGAAGACATGGTTAGGACTGCACTGCAAAAATAACTTTGCTTTTGTTTCATTTCAAATACTCGGACTGTGAAGCTCTATAAGATTCTGCTGAGCAATGGCATCATAAATAAGCAGATTCACAGGAAAGTGTTTATGAACAGATAATGGCTCTGAGGGAAACATTACTGTCCACTGAAACAAATGCTCACTTTAGAATATTTCATTATGAATATAATTATACTCTACTGCATAAATATTATGTAATTTTAATAAGAAAATTGATATCAGAGCACATATTTACATAATAGATGGTAGCTTAAAAAAACTGGTTGTATGGTAATATTCAAAGTCATTACTACAATTTTATTTTGAATTCAGAGATGAGGCACAAGGTTATGTTAGTTTACATGTCAACAGGGAAGAAAATGCAAAACCAATTCCTAAGATTTGTATAAAATATTAATTGCTAAATACTGAAATATTAACTGGATTTTAGCTGGTATCATTCTATTTTCATATGTTTCATATATATTCTTAACATTGTAGAAATTTCAGTTCTATTCACTAGTTTGTTTTGTAGGGCAGAGTTAAATCCTAGATACGTCCCTATGTGTGCAAGAATTGCTGCACATTTACTTTATTTTTTGTTTTTTGTTTTTAAAAAAACACACAATATAAACTACCAGACAGAGCTCTTCACTGCAGATTGCTGCCACAGAAATTCTTTCAGATAGAGACCAGGCGGGTAATTTGAAAAGGCTAAAAGCAGTAGATGAAAAGTCCTTTTCTTGACCTTGTCACTTTTTCATCTTGCCCTTTCTACTTAGTCAAGGCAGGGCTTTTTTCAGCCAGAACTTGGCAGAACTCATTTCTGGCACTTCTCATTTGGGTACCAGCACCTCTCAGGTGGATGCCATTGCCATTTTAAGAGGAGGTTGGCATTCATGGTGAGTTCTGGCATCTCTTTTTCTAGAAGAATAGCCCTGACTCCAGGTGTCTCTTCCTTTCCTAGGATGCCCTGGGTAGGTTGCTCTGTTTACTTTCTCTCCTCCCTCAGTCTCAAGGCCACTGAGGAGCATCCTCACACATCTTAAGATGTTCTCAGAGGTCTGGTCCCTACACACCTCCTCTCAGGATAACTCCCAGTGTGTGAAGGGCTTATGCTACCTAGGTGCTTCGAGTTGAAGGACAAGAAGGTAAGCTTCAAACCATTCCATTATGAAAAATAACAGATTTAAAAGAGGGACTTTCTTTGGAATTTGTTTATTTCAGATATTTATATACCCCTGAATTACTGAAGTATCTAAGCAGCATGTAGGCTGCAGGTTGATTGAGTAAACATTAAGAACATGATATGTTCAGAAATCAGCATATGTGTATTGTCTGCCCTCAAGCATTAAGCAGATAGTGTATATTTAAACAGGGAGAAGAAAAGAGATTTATCCCAAACACAAATATTACTTTATATTACAGTTGTTCCTTTTATTACTTCATTAATACAAATGGAGAAGTCAGGGGAACCCTGCTCAAGGATACAATTCAGTTTCTTGTCAAATTATTCCTGCACATGCTGCTGTCATACGCAAGATTTGCTCTCTGCTTCTACCACTGGATTACCTCTTTTACAAGCTAGCATAGGCTGGATCATACCCCACCTGAATATATAGAGGTGGTCATTTAGCTAATTTCTTTGAAATTGTATTTACACCTGTAAAAAGAAAGTATCATGCAATGGTAAAATAAAACAGAAAGTATTAGAGGAACCGGACATGAGGTTGTTCCTGTACTCCTTTACTGAGTCTGGCCATAAGTTCCAGCCAAGCGCCAAGCTACAGAGGAGAATAAAAATGCCACATTAAGCGCCTTTGAAGAGACCCGCTATTAAGTGCAGTATTTTGTACTGAATGAAGGAATCTGTGCAGCATTGAGTTATAGAGCCTAATTTCCTTCATGGTGCTAGAAATCTATCAGCCCTGCCAATATGACATATAAGTCTTGCAACTTGTTAGCTTCCATCCTGCCCCTCCTGCTCCTCTCTTTCCTTCTGTCACCTGGACCTTAACAGTGAATCAAACTGCAGGAGGAAAACAGATTCAACGAAACAGGTTCAAGATCAAAGGCAAAATGGATCCAACCTAAGGCAGGGGGGGAAATAGAGCAGTTAGAGAGTCAAGACAATTGTTAAATAAAGCAGTTTTTAAAAATCCATTTAGAGAACTTCTGTCAATAACAACACTTTGTAAGGAATAGCCAAGTCCTTAGCAAAGGAAGAAGCAGGGGAAATCTTAAAAAGCTAAAAGTATTGCAGCCTATCCACCCTCCAGCCACAGAAAAATGTGGCTATTATAAAGTCACTTTGATTTCAAAGTCTTTCCGTAAGCTGAAATACCTGGTTGGAGCTTTTAAGAGAAAATGAACCTTTCAAAGTGTTACTCAGGCTCTTGTTGTCGTCCTTCCCCAGAATCGATTACATAAAAAGTTTCTTGGCAAGACAACAGGGAGTTGCGAATCGTTTAAAACGCCTCTTTGAAACGGCGAGAGGGGTGGACGTAGGTGAGAATCTCTCCCGGACTCCGGAGCTGAGTGAATATCTCCCCTGTCTTGAGAAATTTAATGTGACAGAGGAAGGAAGATTCTGAGGAACTCAGCACAGGAGTCTCGAATCCAGAAGGTGGTTTCACCTCAGGGGAAAAAAACACACGTTTCTCCACAGTTGCCTCACCTTCCAAACTGAGCGCAGCTGGGGGAAGCTTTTGGAGTTACAGGTTGCGACGGCGCAAGGGCAGCTGGCTCCCAACTCCCGCCCAGGGACAACCCCAGCCTTAAATTAGCCAGTTAAAGCAGATAGTCAGTGCGGGAGGCGACTCAAGTTGCCTCAGTATCCCTCTGAGGCGACTGCCATGAGCGCGCCTTTGTCTCCCGTCCCAACCCTCTTTCCCCAGAACAGCCATCATACTCCAGGGGACAAGCTCCATCCACCCCACCACAGCCGGATACCACCAGGCACGCATGCAAAGCCTCAGGATCAGGCCCGCCTCACCCCATAAACTTCAGCAGCTCGTTTCAGGCGAACGCCTCCCCAAAAGCCCCCAAGGCGCGCGGGGAGTCGACTCAGGCGCGCACCGTGCCCTCTTGCAGGAAAAGAACCGAGCAGCGTGCCTCGTCGGTCCTTTCCTCCACAGAAAACCCCCCACAGCACACTTAAAAGCCATTCTTGCCTCTCGCACTCTCGACAGCACTCGCCTACTCGCCACCCCGTCTCGGCTGGTGGTGCTGCTTTCAGCCAATCCCGGATTTCCCGCCAAAATAGCCACCAGGCTCAGACGGCAGAAAGGGCGCACTTGTCTCGCCCGCTCCAACCGTCGAGGTTAACTCGTGTCTCGCCAGTCCTTCCTTTCTCGTGCAAGGTGTCACCCCCACCCCACTCCCTTTGCCAAGTCTATTTGGTGGCGATAATCCCTCGCCCCAGAGGCTGCCCCTCTCACCCCAGTGATAACTGCAGAATCCCCCGCGGAGAGCAGCAGGAAGAGGAGCGGGACGCAGCTCAGGCTCCTCATGGCTCCCTCTGTTTTCTCTCCCCGGGGCTGTGTGTGCAGCGCTCCGCGCGCTTAAGCCTCGCTCAGGGCTCCCCTCAGGGCAGCAGCAACCGTGAGGAGCAGGAGTGGAGCCGGGGCCGCTCCAGCCCGTTATAAAGCTTAGGGCTGCCATTCAAAGGCAGGATGAGTCACTCACCCACCTACCCAGCAACGCTGCCGTCGGGGGAGAGGGACGGGGGGGGGGGGTAGAGGGCACGCGCAGGAGCAGCCGCATAAACACACAACACAAAACAAAGCGCGCACCTCCTCCCCTCACGCTCTCAAGGAGTAGTAGCGCGGCGATTCCCTCGCGCAGAAAAGGGAAGGGGGGCGCTCCAGGCTGGGTTGCTTTCCGTTGCCACAAATGGGTGGGGTGGGCTACTGTCAGCTTTATATATTTGCCGCGAGAAGGGTAAATGGGCGGGGGTGGGGAAGCAGGCAAGGCCATCTTGGGGATGCTGAGGAAATAAAACTTGCAAGAAGAGCACCGATTCCACAGTAAACACGCGTCTGGAAGCAGGAGCCCATGCAGTCCTACCAAAGAAACCCAAGTAAGTGTACGTTCTAACATGGAAATATATGCACACAGGCAGTGCCAGATTTACGTCTAAGCTAAACAAGCTATAGCTTAGGGCCCCACACCCTTGGCCCCCCCCCCAAAAAAATAAAGGAAAAAAACCACTGGATGTACATTTCCAAAATATAAGATAAAAAACAAATAAAATAAAACCTAAATACAGCAACAGTGTTTTGTGTTGTGTTATGATGTACATATTGTGTTATGTGCAAATGGATTTAGATACCTATTAGGTCCATAAATTACTATATAGCATATATTCAACACAAAGCAGTGACAATTTGTTGTTGACAAAGGACAGCTGGACAAATAAAGGGCCCCATTACCAGTGGTGGAGCTTCGTGCTCCGGCACCGGGGGCAGAGAGCAGGCGGGAGCATGGTTGGCGCACATCCCGGGGGCGTGGTGCGTGTCCCAGGGGCGTGGCGCATGTCCTGGGGGGCGTGGCACCCAGCGCATGGGTGGGCAGCCATGATGGTACCCCACCAGGATTGTGGTGCTGGGGACAGTGCGATCCCCCTGACCCCCTCTTCCTCCGCCAGTGCCCATCACCTTCAGTAGCTTAGGGCCTCATCCAACCTAAGTCCAGCCCTGCACACAGGTGCAAACACACTCATGCAGATTGTGTCCCCAAAGAGACACAGTAACGAAGTATCCACCAAAGGACAGGCTGCCATAGGCAGGTTGCAAGAGAAACACAAAGGACAAATGAATGGAAGAGTGAGGTATCCACACACACTTGTGCAGCGTACCCAGAAAGATACACACACTGGAACACAACAGGGTGATGCTATTGGGTTTGGGTGTAGGAGAGGCAGTTTCAAATCCCCTCCCAAGCTGTGAGACTTTCTGGAGTATAACAGAAGGAGAATCTCCACTCCCATTGTTAAGCCCAGACACTAAGATCCAACTCAGAGGGCCTTCTGGTGGTTCCCTCACTGTGAGAAGTGAGGTTACAGGGAACCAGGCAGAGGGCTTTCTTGGTAGTGGCGCCCGCCCTGTGGAACACCCATCAGATGTCAAACTGATAAACAACTATCTGAAGGCAGCCCTGCATAGGGAAGTTTTGTAATGTTTGATGTTGTATGGTGCTGTTTTTATATTTTTCTGGAAGCCTCTCAGAACTGCACAGTCAGATGGGTGAAAGTATAAATGTCAAATTGCTTGAAAGTATAAATGTCAAATTGTTTTTTAAAAAAATAAAATAAAAAATAAGTGTATACCAAAGTTGCATGTGTTCTTGAACAAAACAAAGTTTGAAAGTAAAATTTAAATTAAACTTTATTGCTTTTGTGGTTGTTGTTTTTTAGTTGTTTAGTCGTGTCTGACTCTTCGTGACCCTATGGACCAGAGCACGCCAGGCACTCCTGTCTTCCACTGCCTCCCACAGTTTGGTCAAACTCATGTTGGTAGCTTCGAGAACACTGTCCAACCACGTTGTCCTCTGTCATCCCTTTCTCCTCGTGCCCTCAATCTTTCCCAGCATCAGGGTCTTTCCCAGGGAGTCTTCTCTTCTCATGAGGTGGCCAAAGTATTGGAGGCTCAGCTTCAGGATCTGTCCTCCCAGTGAGCTTTTAGTTTCAGTAATTCCTCCTCTTTCATTGAGCTTGGGGCCAGACCTAAAAGCTTCTTCAGTCCTACCTGCTTGCATGGTCACTGGTGAAAGTGAGCTTATTCCCTCCTTTGGGATTCTAGATCAGATTGAGCAGGACTGGGGTGCCAACTTGAATAAAATATTGGGGAAGGGGGGGAGTAAGCTCTACCCTGCATAATCGATCACAGGACACGGTGCATGCACACCATTTAAATGGCAATGCCCAGCAACTTTGTGGAGTCCTGCCCTCTCAAATATTTGATTGAGGGGAGTGAGGAGACCTTGGCACCAGGAGTCGGCTCCTATGAGGAGGATTCAAATGCACACATTCTCCACTTAGGTTAACAATAATGTGTGAAGCAGTCCCAACAATGTCAATAATATAGATATATAAAGATAAAAACAGGGAGAGGTGAAAGAGCCCTTTGAAATGGCATCTGATGAAATGACCTTGAGTCCACAAAAGCATATGAATAATAAATGTGTTAGTCTTTCAGGTGACAGAGGATCCTGACTGCTTTTGCTGCAAAAGTAACTGTGAACTAGAAAATTTGAAACTGTCTTAGTGGTACAGAATATTTCCCTTGTAAATGGCCACGTCTTGTTTCTGGAGCACACTTCCATCCATTAAAATAATTGAAAACTCCCAGACT